CTTCAACATCAAGCCCATGATTCTGTACAGTAATCAGGGTAAAAACTAATCCTGCATGCTCACACCTGAGTATGAAGCTTGAAGCAAGTTTGCAGAAACAAATTGATTTTTTTTTGCAATTAAATAAAAACAAATTCAAACTAAAAACATGTGATATTGTGTAGATTATTGGGTGGGGAAGGTATTGATCTACACCAGCAGGGGGAGACTTTGCCCACAAATAGCTGAACTCAGTGGAACTAGTCATAAAACTGATGTAACTCTTTGCAGTGTTAAACTCCATCTCTCTCGTGCAGTGTATCGTTAACAGGATGTCGTGTGCCTTTTTTTTTCTTTTTTTTTTAATTCATCGCACGCATAAAGACCGGCGCATTGATTTCACGGCGTGCCGCGATACAGCAGCAATGCACGACTAATCAGATGCGTTCACAACACCGTCGCTGCATAATGAACACGAGATTGATTGTAATTTAGTGCGCTGACTTAGTGGAAGTGTGGAGTCCTCATTAGAAGGGGTGCAATTAATGATCGTTATCTAAACGTGGAGATAAACGTCCCAATTAGTCTGTTATCCGACCTCTCCCAGTAGCAAAAAAATACAATAATTAATATCTATGAGGACTTACGCAACATAATTGGTTGTTTGTGATTCCTGTGTAATTATTGACTTCCTTTTTTTGGGGGGGCTACTTTGTCGCAAGTTCTCTCTCCGTCTCGCGGTGACATGGCCGAAAAGAGCGCACGCACTCGCCAGAGCGTCAGTCGTGCTCGTGCGTTATAGCGCTTTGTCCTCGTTATTTCAAAGTGAGCGCTGAGGGAGAGAGAGGAGAGCGAGCTAGGTGTCTCGTGCGGGTTTTCGCTGACACAATAAGGTGCGCGCTGGGGGGGGGGACGTTGCAATTACGCCGTGCTTTATTTGTATCTATTTTTTTTGTGTGTCAGATTTACACAGGGAAAAAAAGAAGTGCCTGGAGAGAGAGAGAGCGAGAGAGAGAGAGAGAGAGAGGGGGGAGGAATAACCAGAACGCAACACGTATCCGGTGGGATCCCACTCCTGAGAGAGAGAGAAGCGGCAGGAGTTGGAGCGAAGGGTGCAAGGAAAGCGAGAGAGGGAGAGAGAGAAGCAGACGAAGAGGAGGAGGGGGACGTTAACCTTTCGCTCGCAACAACGCGTTTTTAACTAACAAAGAGGAATAATGAGGAACGTTTGGATAATTTTGACCCTCGGGCTGACCGTCTTCCTCTCCGGGGAAAGGGTAAGTTTTTTTGGAAAGCGAACTTAAATACGGGGGTAAATAGCTGTGTGTGTGGGGTCGGGGGGGAGAAAGGCAACTTAGGTCCACGTACGGACCACTCGCTGCTTTTTATGTTGTTGTTTTGTTTAAGTAAAAAACAACTCGGAGCATTTGCCGTGTTTGCCCCCTCCGTGTTGTGTTTATCCCAACACAATATGATGGGATAAATAAATGAGAAACGTTGCGCTTTTTAGTGAGCCGAGAAGTCGGGCGGTTTGCCCGGTGAGTCTGCTCAGGCGAGCTAGCAGACTTATTGCTGCCACTTTGCACGAGACGTATAGCCACTTTTCTGGAAATCACGTTAGATACTCACGAGCTGGAGTGGAGCGCGTGGAGGTCAACGTGCTTTCTCTCTCACTGCTCGGCTGTCGGTGTTGAGCATGGAAGCAACGCTTTAAAGGGACCGTTTGTTGGTGAAGTTTATTCAACGAGCTAGTTAAACATGTCTTTCGAAGCTGTGACGTAGCCAGTAAAGACACATTTGAGGACATAATGGAAATATTTTATATTTAAAGAATCTATGACATCTGACACGAAAGTTAATCATCAGGAAACACGGGGCGCCTCTATATGAGCATTACAGCTGTAATGCAGTGATTTGTTGTTATGATTCCTATGACAGCTGTGAACAGGGTCCATGCTCACTGAAATACATGCATCGTTGAGATGTCAACAATATTGGATCCATCCAGCTTAAAACTTTAGGTTTCTTTTGTGACATTTAAAATGAACATGGCAATACCCCAACTTTTATTCTCAATTTTCCTTTCCCCCCTTTTTATCCTCAGCCTAGGTTTAAACAAACATAGTGATGCTTTTTTTTAAATTCAGTTTCAAGTCCTCGTCAGTGTTGTGCCTCCTAGCCGTGTGTGCATCACCCTGCAAAATTGGCCCGGGGCTGTTGGAATGACAGATTTCGGTGCTTTGGCCCCTGTCATTATTGTCCCCTCCTGTTGGCTCTCTGTGGGCTGCGACTTGTCAGCTTGGCGCGGTGCCTCCTCCTCCTCCTCCTCTCCTCTGATTAGCTGATTCAGACACTGTTGTTTGTTAATGACTCATTGTTTTGAACGAGGTCACCATCATGTTGTCTGTGATCTTTTTTTTTTTTTTTTTTTGACACCAGGGGCTGTGGTTGCGTGCGCAACAATTCAGTTCTTTATTGAACTGTCGCCTAATTGTGTGCATGCGGTGGCCCGAGGATACAGGGTGACTGTAAAATGGGATGGGTACATTACTTCTTACGTCACAGTGTCAACAACAAGTAAAAGAGGTAGCAGTTATTGCAATACATTGGATTGCAGCACAATGTACAGGGTGATGTTTTCCTGGTCACATAGCGTTCAATATCCAACAGAATTCTGGCAAAATATGAGATAATCCATGACAAGAATATGGCATGATTGACCATCATCATCTAGATGATTTACACACACACACACACACACACACACACACACACACACACACACACACTTTAACCTGATCAATATCTACCTCTCCTTTTTATCGGTGTCTCCTGAAGGCCTCACTGGAACCTGACGCGGCGCATTGATTCTCAATATTGGCACTGGTGTTGACAAGTGGTTGATAACCTGCTTCAGGCACATGTGTCTGTGTTGTTAATTACGCCGTCCACATCACAGGGGTACAGAAGAACCCTCAGATAAAAAACCCACTGCTCCTGGCTTTGGAGAACTAATTATTTCATTGTCGAGATAGCGATGTCACCTAACCCCATATGTTCGTATGAAACAGTCGTGCCTTTGTCTGGAAAGCATTGGTGTATGTTGTTGTCGTTGGCTAGCCTGCTTACCAGCTTACTTACAGCGAGGAATGCTTTGACGGTAATGCAACATGTGAGGTCCCTGCACGTGTTGAAGCCTCCAGTTGAAGGTGAATACTGTTGTGCAGTGGCCGGTGTGGTGTTGTCATACCTCCTGTTAGATAAGGTCAACGTAGTTGCATTTATTTCTCTCAGACTGGTTTCTGGCCGCGTTTTCCACTCCTCTGCTTCCGACTTCTGTGAGTGAGGAGGACGTTTTTTTTTGTTTTTTTTTGCCAGGCTGCTTTCGCTCGGCACCGCCCCACCGCGTTTCGGTGCGAGCCACTCACCAGATGTTGCGGTATGTAATTTGTGTCGTGTTTTCGGTGGGAAAGGGTGGGTGTCGTTCACCTCCCTTTTACAGCTGCGATTCACAAGAGGGTTCTGAGTGCCGTCTCGCACTCCGAGGCCGGACTCAAAAAAAAGAAATCGCTTCAAGTGGGGGACTTGGTTGTTTGGGAAAGTGCGGCGGAAGAGGGGGGGGGGGGGAGGATGGAGGAGAAACAGACTCCAAATTACACGAAAGCTCAAGGGATTCTGGAGGCAACAGCCAACGGAGGATTTCACACGTCTGTTTATTTATTTTCCTCCTGGCCTTCTGTTATGGACTGACCCCATCCGTGAGGATGATGCGGGGCGGAACCTGACTCCGTCTTTTCTCAAAAGGGCGAGTGAGGTCGGACCGCTCTGATAAAGCAACTTCAAATGGACAAAAAAGAACGGGCATGCCAAGCCTGAGAAAATCCCGTATAGTGTTTCAAGGGTGAAAAGGCCACGGCAGCAACAAGACTTCAACTTGAAGCCTTTTGAGGGAGGGGAGGGGGGAGGGTGCACGGGGCCTTGTGTTGTGAAAGATGCATTATCTCGGTCCCACGGCAGTATTCCAGGTTCATTTTCTGGCTTGAATGGTAGTTTTCTGCTGATTTGGTGGTAATGAAATGAACCGCACAGGCTGACCTTCCTCTCAACTTCAGGCTGCCTCGAGTACATCTACACCCGTCATTCACTCCTACATTCACCAAGAACAAATAACTCACTCTGCTATTTCATTTTGCGTTGATTGATGATCTGAAGGCTATATGAATCCTAAAAGCATGTTTTTTTCCCTCTTACAAAACAAATCCTCCTGGGCCTCTTTAAGGCTACCGAGATGAATGCAACCCCTCACTGTTTGTTTCACAGCACAAGGCTCTTGAATGAGGTGTGTTCATTGCAAATGTCCTCTTCATTCTACCGGCGGTAAAGGCGATGCGCTTCATCCGAAGCATTTCATCGGCGATGTACTTCACGATGAATAAGTAAAAAATGTCTGTCCGCCCACAAAAAAAATATTTACCCTCTTCACCGCCGTTCTGTGTTCGAGATGAGGAAATATGCAAGGGAGACGTGTGGCGAGGAATAACACGCAAGGATACCAATGACCGAATAGAGAAAGTAATGCAAGTCGAGGGTGACGACGGAGCAGAGGAACGAGAGGACGCGGTGCCACACGGAGGAGGCCAGATGCTGTGCCGCGACTGCTGCTTCGCCTGCTGTATTTTTAATGATGCTCTTTTATTTTGCAATAACCTAGAATTCCTCAAACCGGAGACGCAGTCATATATCCCCCTGCATGCAACTGCTGGTGTTTTTTGTCCGACTGCGAGTGAAAAAGCTTTCTTTTTTTCTTTTTCGCACATACACAGGAACCCTGAGCAACCTATGCCTCCTTGCTGGTGTCCGACCCTTCGGGTGGGGGGGAGGGGGATGGGGGGTGCATTCACCCGATCCCTGGCTGCCAAGCATTATGTAATCGCTAATGGACTCTACAGAAGGCAGAGAGGCTGCTGGACCGCTGAAAGCACAACAGCAACCACCACCAACCCCCCCCCCCCCCCGAATCCATCTGTGTCCATGCATGAACTCCTGTTTTGTGTCACCGTGCACACACACACACACACACACACAGACAATTGGATAAACCCTGTGTTGTCCTTCCTCTGCTCCTCTCTGGCAGCGTGGTCAAGATGCCGGCCTGTCATTACCACAGTGTCTTGGAACCGACTGAGAACAGTGGCATTATATTTCCCTCTCAGGCATCTGGAATGAATGAAGGGGAAGAAGTATATTTTTCTTCCTCTTTTTTTTTTTTTTCTCCCCCTACACAAGATACACCCCTTTATTTTACCCTTTCCCCTCCGTTAGGATGTGCATCGGATTTGCCAACATCTGCAGGTCGTATGTGTGTTTTGAAAGGAGCTGCTCTCCTCTTTCTTAACGACGAGTTGGGAGAGGCTCTTACTTTGGCGGGGTCTTGTGCGCACTCTGCGTACAGACTCCTCAAATAGTCGCAACCCTGTTGACCATGTATGTGTTTGTGTTGAGCTGGTGCATCTGGGCCATTTTTATGTCCCTACTGGCTGTGTGTGTGTGTGTGTGTGTGTGTGTGTGTGTGTGTGTGTGTGTGTTTATAGCCACGTGTTTAAAATACACTGTCATCCCAGCCACCATGGCATAGGGAAAACACATCAGGGAGATGTGGCTGCAGCAGAACGGGCGACGGCGGCGCTGATTTGTGTCGGTCCACAGCCACCATAGCTATAGCTGGGAGGCTGCAGCATTGGACAATAAAGGCCTCTGCATGTGCTTGTGGCAATGTGGATGAAAACATTTAGACACAGCAGACCTGGAAATTTGCTCTCTCTCTTCCCACCCGTCTTCTTTTGCCCCTCTTTTTTAATTAGCTTAGCAAATGGAAACTTCCTTGGCAGCGCTGCAGTTGAGGAGTTTGTGGTTGTGACGAAGAGAGATGGGGGGGGGGACCCTCCGTCAGGACGTCTGTTTTCTTCCCCTCTCTCTTTTTTTTAATGGCCTGGGGGGGGATGTGTGAACCCGGCCTCCCTTATGGTGTTCAGACAGGACCTGTCTGGAGCTTTGCTGCATGAGGTGTGAGAAGTGTCTAACTTGGCAGCGGGATGAAATGAAACAAGCCCATGTGGTAAAAAGAGTGCCAGTGGCATGTGACTGTTAGTCTGCTTCGGTAACAGTGTGTAAGAGTTATAGGAGTCTGCCTAATTTGATTTAGAAAAAAAAGAAGCTGGGATATTTTGGATTTCTTGTTTCAGCCTGACTAAAGTTTGAGAAGCAAATGTTTCACTTT